CACGAAGTGACGGTAGTGAGGAAAATCGTAACGCAAAGTGAATGCAATTTTTTTTCATTACCGTCACTTCGTGAAAACAGTGACGATTTGTCTAATTAACGGTTATAAAAATAACCCTTTTTAAAAAGCCAACATTAAATTTTTAAGATTTTTTGGTCGGTTGTAAAGGGTCATACAACATTTTTTTGCAATTTTTTGGCCATAAAAATAAATCGAATGCGAAAAACAAAAAATCATAAAGCCCTAAACTGGAATAGTGTTGCCGGTAAAATTATTTGGATGCTCATAAATAAATTCACGAGTCTCTAAATGAACTCGATTGCCCGCATCTTAAATTTTAGTGCTTATAACGATCGCAAGACAGTAATGCATGAATTTGAAAGCACCTTAATTGAATTAGGTGACATATATATGAAATTAGGCGAGAAAGCCTATTTCATTACCATGAATGTAATGATTAATATAATTATTGTCATTTGTATCATTCTGGCTCAGTTGTTAAAGCAGTGGTCTCGTGATCCGGCGACCAGTCGATGCGCTAGTGCCATTTGGTAAGGCATTAATCCTCATTACCAGGTCCCTCAGAGAGGACCTAAATCCGTCGGTCCTTTGGCTGCTTACATATAATCATGTATGATTTCTTAGCAGTCAGGTAAAATAACCATCACTATTATAAATATCCTTATATATCATAATTAAATAGATACATGACATTTCAAGGCATCCGACTACTCACCTGCCGTTGAGAAAGAAAAGTCGAGGAAAATGAACAAAATAACCACTGTCCCATGGAAGATGCTGCCCCTGAGAGGAAACATTGTTGCTTCTTTTTTGCCGTTCTTTCTTGCTTTTAAAAATAAATTTTAGTAGACGTTTTCGGATTATATATTAAAACAAAAAAAAAGATTCGTCGTAACAGCCAAGATTTTAAGTAAATCAGCCCCAGTGTTATCACGATTTGACTGTAAGACTATACAGGATAAGGTATTTTTTATTTAATTGAACTGTTCTTGCTGGGCAGGACTGCTCTCCTCCAAGTTAAGGTTGCATAATGACACAATCAGATCAATACGATGGTCATTATAAGGATAATTCCATTTCTATTTTGCAATGCCAGAATAGTGTAATCTAACCTTAGTTCCAGTCTAATTTATTTTTTAGTCGAAGGAGAAGAAAAAAATCACGCGCTCATGATGTTTAAACAAACTCATTTCGACACTGTACTTAAAAGAAAACATCGCATCTGAACATATCTTAATCAATTAATTTGTCTATATTTAAAGTTGCTTTGAAACCGTTTTGACTTTTTTGAATTTCCTAAAGATATATTTACGGTAAGTGAAGTTAAACATCGAAGTATTAATAATAGACTAACTTTGATGAACATCTAGATTTTAAAACCTGGTATTACGGCGAACAATACAATCATACCTTTGTTGGATCACAATTAATTGCAGAAAGATGTCGATATTAAGTAACACATTGCGAGTGATTAGGTATATAGGTTATGATCTAATTTCAATTCTAAAAAGCCTTATATGTGACGTCATCATTGCTTTGTCTACAGAATACCAGATATCGGATGAGCAGGCTCCTGTTTTACAAAACTAATTATCAATTATAACCTATAGTAATTGTTATAAGGTACTTAAATAAAAGCATTTGATTGGCTGTGAGCGAATCCGTCGCTGAATTTTGACACTTTTTATTCACTTAAAGATGAAGTTGAGTTCTGGTCATGCGATTGCATTGTAAAAGAAGCGGTGTGGAATCGACCAGAAAAGGTTGATCATCTAGCATATAAGAATTTGTGTGTATTGCAAGGTTCTGGAATCATCAAAATGATAAGAAATTTGGCCAAGTCTTGGTAAAGTTACAAACCCTGTACACAAAAAGATGTGTATGGGACTACACGAACACGTGGCGTAAAAATTCTACCCCGGAGTTTTACGATGTTAATACATGGCATATTTAGAATATGAAGGCATATGAAGAGCCATGCTTTTCAGGGAACATGTCTTATCTGATGTTCTTCCACACTTGCATAATTAAAATGATAACGCTCACAAATTATTTTTCACTTCTTCCCAGAACTCAACCTTCTCTTTAAATTATATCATAATATGAAAGACAATGTCATTTGATACACATTTCTGCAAGGATTTTCAAAAGAAATGTGTTTGAAGTCGAATATTGATAAAAGAATACTAAATTTCGGTTATCTGCGTACAACAAAAAACCCAAATTATGTTTCTTTAATCAATATTTGTCTTCAAGAACTTTTTTTTTGGGGGGGGATTTTTGCAGAAATGTGTCTTTTGGCGAAAAACATCCAATGACGATGAAAGCGCTATTAATCTCAACAACAACAACAACAACAACATTATGATACAATTTAAGTGATTTGTTGTTTGCGAATGTGGGGCTCCCAACGCTTTAGACGGTCTTTAAGTATAATGTGTCAATGGATTTATAGATACTAATCGTATCTCTTTAAGCTTTTATGGTGTTATGGCTATGTCAACAGACCTGTATAAAACATGTTTTGAACAAAGATTTCTCTAGATTAATAATTAAACGTCCGAGCATTTCACAACATAACATCAACTAATGTTTGCAATTTAAATTCCATGCATACAGTTGCCTTTGCTTACAGCAGGTGAATGGAATGGCTGCTAACCAGGGGTTAGGGAAAGAAGCGTGCATACATTGAAATCTTTAGTAAACATGTATGTTATACTTTGTGAACTTTATACATTTCTTTCCTGTCATTTCATAATTTCTTGTCAAATACATGTTTTATTTTATTTTCCTTAATACAGCCGAGCATTAAGCTCCTTAAATATATTACTGCTGACTTGTTTATGAATAAACATTGCATGAACTATTTTCATTATATATTGGTAATTTTACCAAGTACATTAACGCTGATGTTCTATTACACAAAGTCAAATAATCATTCGAATTGCCAGATATTTTCTTTTTTAATATTAATATATATTTATTTCCACGTCAAGATAAAAACGATATCATATAATATTCAAAATACAAACATATAATGAACTTCTTATCATTCTATAGAAAACTTTGTTCAAAACAATTTATAAAGGTCTGTTGACATAGCCATAAAACCATGAAAATATAAAGAGAAGAAATTAGTATATATAAACATAATTGACACATAGAACAGTCCGCTTTCAACCAAATATTTTTTTCGCTGCATGGTCCCAACATGTAATGATTCTTTTAAATATGTACTTCTCTACCTACATTTAATCGTGCTATATAAAGACAGCAGAGTCAGATAATAGACCAAAAAGGAAAGAAGGAAGAGCAAACAAGAATAAGAATGTAGATGAGGGGAAGAGAGAATAAAAACTGCTTGCATAGTATGGGTCCAAATATCTGGTTGCCGTTTACAATAACCGTTTAATGTTATAGTTGAACATGTAGATATAATTCGGAATGAAGGACTGTCTATATCGACAGTGATACGTTTTGTAAACACACAGACGAATGCCAGATCAATTCTAATTGAAACCGGAGTGGAGTGGGTGGGTAGGGTCACGCATGATATTGTGATTTTTTAGAAGAATGCGTTTCTCATATTACGAACTGATTGGGGGGGGGGGGTCCTTTTGGCTAACCCGTTGGGCGATTTTCCTTGGTTTTTCTAGCTTGTTGGTGTTTTGCTTTGAGAGATTCCTAAATATGCGCAGGAAGTTGAATGTAAGAATGCTTTGAATGAGCGACTGGTAGAAGAGAACTAGAATGCTGTTATCAACTCTGAACTCCGTTAGTTTTCTAAGAAAGTACAATCTTTGGCTTGCTTTAATTAGCTACAATCTGTGAGTTTCTATTCTTATTTAGCTTCTTTTCAACAACTGTTCCCACTGGCAGGTTGTTATATTCTGTCATCTGTTTAATACAATGATCATGGATAACCACATACTCACGTAATTTGGGATTGAGGTGAACGGCGGAAGTCAAAACAATATCTTTAGTTTTGTTTACATTCAGGACAAAATTATGACTATCACACCAGTTAACAAACTACACCCTATTATTATTCAGTAGAAATCCACTAATGACAGTATTGTAAGAAGGAATTGAGTATTTGAATGAAAAAAAAACTGATTTGAATTATAGGGTTACATATGTAATTCAGTCTTTGGACTTCGACCCTGGAAGATAATAAATAAAACTATTTCATCAATCAATAGATGATGTTTGCAGGAGTGTGATTTCAACAACTGGAGGAGAGATCCGAGGATTACAGTGATTCAGTTTATCTTTCGCATTCTAGGCACAGATTACACCTACACTTTTAATTATAACGATTGAAAATAATTATAATGTAACCACATTGTGCAGTGCCGATGTACAATTTCCCATAACAGGTGACGTGATGGGGGATAAACCACAACGGCGCATTGAATAGACGTAATCATGCGATTTGTATTGTCAAGTCTAAATAGGGTTCAGTTTTCGAACTGCGAGAATGGAAAATACTTTTATGAAATCCTTCAAATAATAAATCAATCATGTATGTAGGGGTGTGATTTCAACATCAAGTCAAATTGTGCAATGCCGATGTACAATTCCCCAAACAGGTGACGTATAGGCCGGGGGCTAAAACCACAATGGCGTATTGAATAGACGTAATCGTGCGATTATTATTGAGTCTAAACATGGTTCAGTATTCGAACTGTGAGAATGGAAGATACACAATAAAATCCTTCAATGAGTCAATGAGTGATGTATGTAGGGATATGAATTCACCATGTAATAGTCGAATTGTGCAATGCAGATGTACAGTTCCCTGTACAGGTGACGTATAGGGGGAATTCCCCATAACGACGTATTGCAAAACGTCACAATGCGATTTATATTGGGTGCAAACAAGGTCATGATTACACCCCCCCCCCCTTGACACTAGTTTAACAGCGGCGTCGACAAACCAGCACGAAGTATCAGTGTCGTTTTGATGTCCTTCAAGGAAGATCTTTAAGCGGACAGTGTGCTTTTGCATTGATATATCAAATCAAGCCAGAAGACATTTTAACATCATTTTGGTCACACTTTAATAGAAGATCATGCCAAGTAAAGGAAAGAATTGTTCAAGATGGATCCACGGTGGATGCTATTCTTTGTTTGTGGTTACCATTATTGTGTTAAGTGGTAAGTATTCTAGAACACATGCAGCCTACCCCCGCGTTATACGATCAGACTAGAATCCGATTGTGGAAGAATTTGCAATATCATTTGATATGAACATTTTAAATGTGTAAATCAAGAAGAAGATTTTTAATTAGATTTTATTACCTAATATAATTCCATTTGTTCGAGATTCTGATCTCAGGTGCATCGAAAAGTATGGAGTGGGCTTTGATTATATAATGCAACTGGTGGAGATTTTAATCTCATTTAAATCAGATTACCGTCTATATCTGTAATGCGATATTAATATGCAACTATGTTCTGTTGAAAAATACCACATTTATTACGAGGAATTTCGAGAACCGGTGTTCATGTATATACTCTGTCTTCTGTATTTTGCTCTGTAACTGTTATGAACTTCATGGTTGATGATGTACGTTGTTGTTACTGTGAAACAGAGCCTCATGGAAGACAACCACTTTTGTGGACAAAATCGAAAACGAATAAAGGATCTACGTATAATTCGTACATGTACTGAGTTTCAACCTTTCATCTGTATACGAAATATAAAATATGTTTAGGCACCGGGGAAATAGGAACCGAAAACGCATAAAGGAATTACATGTACGAACATGTATTAAAACCTAACCTATGGTTGCTATTTCCCCGGCGCCATAGAAAACTGTTTATATATCATAAAACAATGATCATCTGAACTTAAATAAATATACGCAAAGGGAGTACTTTTATACCTTTTCAATACTCCTTTTCCACTGTGCCTTCAAACTATTTATATTTCGTATCACTATATAAACAATCTTTTATGGCGCCGGGGAAATAGGAATTTGAAATAAAGGAACTTCATGTACGTACATGTTTTGAAGTTCAACCTATTATTGCTTTACGATATATAATCAATATTGTTATGGCACCGGAGAAATAGGAATTGATAGGAATTGCTCTACAACTGGGTCATCGCGGCTCCCTTGTGGTGTACTCCTCCTGAGTAATATATAGATCTGATGAAAAAATGTCATAAGAAAATTTAGAAAAGCTCATTATGAGATTAATAAACTACTCTTGTTATTGAAAATAAAATCATTCTAAAAAAAAATAATGTACACTTTTGATGAATCTCATTAATTTTCATGATTTTTTGTTTTTGTTCTGCAGCATTCCTGTATTACTGCACGAACCCACGGGATCCAAGTAAGTATCTAAAAATGATATATAACTCTCCAAACCATGAAGTATGATATAATGCTATAATAATGCAACTCAAAACAAAATTGTCTTTTTTTATTTTTTATTTTATATTTTATATGGGTTGATTACAGGCAAAATGCGAAGGGGAACGAAGGAATGTATAACAACGTTTAATTACAACAACGTCATTTTTCTTATCATTTTTTTTAATGAATTATCAGGAATGGTTGTATTTCATTTTATCCCAGAGATTGACAACCACAAGTCAGTCTCGTGGATATTTTAGAACTTTCGGTCCCATGTGCTGTCGGTCTAGGAGAATGTTCCCTTGGGGCAGTGTTGGCGAACGACTGTAAAAGTCAAGATGCATATACAAATCAACTATAACCTATTATGTTTCCTTCCTTGTTCTCTTTTTCTTCTTCTCCTTCTTCTTCATCTTCTGTTTCTTCTCCCCTCCCTATCTCTCTCTCGATCTGTTCATCATCCTCATCTTGCCCTTCCTCTTCTTTATCTTCTTTTTCTTCTTCCTTTTTCTTCTTCCCCGTCTCTCTCTCTTTCTCTCTCTCTCCCTTTCTTCTTCCTCATCAATATCATATTCTTCTTCTTATTCTCCTCCTTCTTTACCATTTTGTCTCCTCTATGTCCCCCCCCCCCTCTCTCTCTCTCTCTCTCTCGCTCTGTCTGTCTTTCTCACTTTATAACAGCCCTGCCAAGTCTCTCGACACCGCCTCGAGTAAAGAACGTCACTACATCGGCGATTGAGATAGAATGGAAGGGGGATTACGACGGTGACGGGCCCGTATGCGGGTTCATCGTCGAGCTTAAATCTCCGGGTTCAACGTCGTGGACGAGTGTCGGGTTCGTTTACTTCGATGAGGACGAGGATGATTTCGAATACACAATTGAGAGACTCGATGCTAACGCCCTCTACGGAATAAGTGTTATGATGCTGCACTGTTTCGGCATGGAAGGTGTGAGGGGTCCGGAGATTAGCCAGTTAACAGAGGACCATGGTGAGTTTGGGTTTCACTATCTGAATAAACCATTAAATTATATTGTTCACTCAAGGCTCTTGCGTCGTTTGTTTTGTCCCCTTCAGTTTAAAACCTCGTTCCTGTATATAACGCGGCAAATCCATGGCGTTTTTTATGACGTAGGGTGCATACATACGCTTCACAATTCTGTCTCTAGTACATGGACATTTACAGGTAAAAAAAGCCGCGCGAAAGGTGTTTGTCGGTGTGTTACCGCGCTATATTGGAACTAGCCTTTGTAATATTTAGGAACGATGCAGTCTTCGATCAAAACGTACCCAATACATAAACACCAAATTAAAAAATTAAAACGAGGTTCAAGGTAAAACTGTAATATGTAAACGTGCACCAAATAAAACCCAGAGATTACATTGCTATAGTCGACATAAAATAGGAAGTGGACCGCATTTATTCGCCTTGCAATTTGGCCTTTAATAGGCTGCGATATAAGTGATTGGGTTGTGTTAAAGTGATCAGACACGCGGTTAGATGGAAAACAAAACTTGCGTTTCCTCACCATTTGAAAGTTTTCAAATGTTTGGTTTATTATGTTTCGTTTTGATAGGAATCTTTCAAGTCCTGGTATGTGCTTCGCAGCCAATATCCATTAAATCTTACAAAGGCTTTTTGTCAACTATTTTAGCCTGTGTAATTAGTTGACAACTATAGCGTCATGATATTTAGTGAATATGGGCTCTGGGTCTTGTACGTACGAAGGATTACGATCACCTGCAAATTTGAAATAACGATTCTGATTTGTTTACAGTCAGTCGTGTAAACAAAACGTGTATGCAACGATAATCTTGTATGGCTATTACAATGTTTTTTGTTTTTTTCTTCTTACCGAAACATATCTACAGAACCGCAGACAAAGCCACCATCTTTATCGACATCAACAGCGCCACCATGCCCGGCGCAGAATTGCACTGAATCTCCACAGAACCCATCCGAAGATGATCTTCCCTGGAGAATGATGTTCGTAATTGCTGTACCCGTGCTCTCGGCCATCGTCTTGCTGCAACTGATTATTCTCATGAGGTAGGATTATGGTTTATTTGTAAAACTGCATCATGCAGTCATCAGAGAATTAAAAATGCACACTTTAAAATCCCCACTACACTACTTATTGCGACTTGCACCCTCTATATAGCAAACAATGCCTGATCGGTGCATGTTGGTCTCTTTTTCGTATGTTAAATGCGAGCTAATTTGATGATATAACTACCTGTCAGTGACCTTGCAGGGAGGTCTAATCCCCATGGCCATACTAGTGCGGACGGACTTTAAATCTGTCTGTGCAGTGCAGTTATTTTAGGATTGAATTTGGGATATGAAGCTCATTGACCAATATCCTTAGGGTCCTTATTTCGCTCCTGTCGGTATTAGTTTAGTGTAACTTTTCACTCCTGACTGCACAGAGGTCAATTTAGCTGATGTCAACTCGACTTCCTTGGTTTCAAAGTTGATTACATAGGTTTCATTTTCTTAGATTAGTTGTTGTATGAGTCCCGTGCTGAGCAAGAAAAAAGTGCATAAATTATTGTCACCGAGCTGTTTGTGAGACTCGATAGTTAACTGGAGGCCCCTAAAATACACTTCACTTCTCGCCAACAGTAGGGTGTAAACCCAGCTTTTAGTTACTCGCATACACAACTGGTAATCCTTCTACAGATCTTCGCGATAGGCTACATAGCCCTTTGAAGATTAATACAAGAAGGAGAGGAAGAAGCAGGAGAATAACTGTGACCAGTTGCCCATAATATAAAAAAAATAGAAAAAGAAGTAGGTGTGACATTGAATATTATCATTATCTTATTACTTTTATAATCATGGTATTTGCAGTCATCCTCTGCATTACGCTATACTATTCTAAATCTTCATCATTTAAAACGCGCTACTCATTTTGATAGTACACTCACAAGTCATGTGTGTGTTTATACTTACAGGTATCTTACACTTGCATACAGAATGTTTACTTGTATAATTATGATTCTATTTAGTGTATTTTTTATCATGTAAATATACTGTTTCATGTTTGTTTATTCCTACTCAATCTGCAGCCTCTGTGTTCGACGGTGTCGGAAGAATAGTGCTCATACAGTTGTAGATTAGCCGACCACCGTTCCGGAGCAAACACCAGAGGAAACACAGTAACCGGACATGACATCTTCATAATAGATCATTAATAACATTGCGTATCGAAGTGTGACGTCACACTGACCAAGTTGTCAAGTTTGCTGGTTCTAAACGGTTTTCAGTCCTATCCGAGGGACTAGGTAATAAGGATAAATACCTTACCAAGGGGCACGAGGGTATTGACTTGGTTTCGAACCCAGGACCTTCCGGTCACGAGACCACTGCTCTACCTCTGACCCATCTCGCCTCCTCAATGATCGATGTCACTGTGAACCTCATGCGCAAGCTCTGTTATTAGGAACCAGTAACCTGGACGACGAGCGAATATGACGTTAGCACTTCGGTAGTCTATATAGCAGTAGTGCAATGTGTGTTCATCTGTGAGGGAGAGGGGGGAGCTACTAAAGAAGATGAGGGAGCTGGTCAAGACCCCTTCTTCATATTGACTGTCAACCTATCTTAATATCCAGCATTGAAAAAAACTACACAGTGCCACCTCACATTTATGAACATCTAATAAAATGTTCCAAAGTTTCAAAAAACATCTATTAGATTAGGATTTGCATATTCAGAACAAATTAAACCTATAATAATATTTGATTATTTCCTTCATTAAGGTTTTAATACAGAAGCCATCCGCTTCGAGTGGGCAACGGGTTAAGAGATACTTAAATTGTGGTATAATTGCTTATCATATGAAATTCCTGGAAATAGAAAGTTTAATTTCATTCTAAATGTATGTAAGAGAAGTAAACTGTACGACATTGAAGTTATGTTTCCATGTACAGTATGTATGTATTCACGAAATTATTCGCTCAATGTATGCATTGATGTGTTCATAATTGTTGTATTTATTATCTAAATGAATGGTATTACTGAATCCTCTTTACTCTTAAATTGTATTATCTTTGCTGATGATACGAGTATTTGTTATTCCCTTAAAAACCTTGAGACGCTCATAACGCAGTCGCATTATGAAAAAGTGATAATGTCTAAGTAGTTTAAATCTAATACGTATCACTAAATGTAAAAACAAATTTCATTCATTTTAGAAATAATAACATACATGGTTTATTTAAAAAAAACAATCTATTGATTTTTCAGGAGTCATTTAAATTGTACTGAGCGAATATGTAATAACTAAGCATACGTCAAAAACAAGGAATATTGGAATACTATATAGGTGTTTTTTTTTATTCCGAAAGAGCTATGATTATATTATATAATTTATAGTGTCATCACATGTGTAATATTGAAATACTGTATGGGGGCGATTATAATACACAAAAATTGTTTCAATATGTTTGATTAAAAAACTATCTCAAATTATTTATCACACACGGAACCGATATTGTATCGTTTAAAAACATTACAAATATAAGATATTCACATTTTCTGAAAAGCAAGCATTTTTATGTTCAATAAATTCAAAAATAAAGGAAAACAAATCAAATCAAATCAAATAATGTATATATATATATATATATATAGGGAGAGAGAGAGAAAAAAAAATACTTTATCATAAGGCCTAATCGTTATATTTTCATTTTACAATAAAGCATTATGTAATTATACTAATCAACTATTGTATTGTTTCTTGTATATATGTTTTGATATGAACTTTACATGTACGCGCTTGTGTGAACCTGTAATGTTGTAATGTTCACTATACGATGTGTATGTATGTGTTTAATATTAAAGGGCGTTGCACTGATGAGCACGATGAAAATCTCCCCCAACACCTTTAAAAGTGCTTGAACAATATTTTAAGATTCCTTAACTGAAAAATTTCCCAAAGGAATGGTGGCTAAAATATTCATTATTCGAAAAAATATGTACAGTTAATTTTCTTTATAGATTAGAATTTTGCAAACTGCCAGTGTTTTATTCCCCATGTGTTGTGCACCAAAATGAGGGAGGGTAAGAGGACACTTTTTTTTTTGGTCCCGTTTGGGGGGGGGGGGTAAGGTCAGCTTTTTTAGGTCAACCATGGGAATATTTTTTTTATTTTTTTTATTTAAAAAAAAAAAAAAATCCAAAAGGGGGGGTTTTAGAAAAATTTAGGGGGGGGGGGGTTTACACACAAAAAAATACCAAAGGGGGGTTGAACCCCCAACCCCCCCCCCCCCCCCCCCTGTGTACGCGCCTGCGTATGCTGTTACATTCTAAAGTGTCTTTTCCAGCCCCAGTTGAAAGTCACACTTAAACCAATAAAGAACTAAATTAAAGTAATGACCCAGTCTCTTTTTGCTTCCATTTAACTTTACACAATAGTGTTCTAGCTTCGGCAGCCGTAGCGCTGCTTGTATTCAAGGTACCAGGTATCCATTTACAAGGCATCCATTTACTCTCCCATTGATCGTGTAGTGAAAAATGTACATCAATTTCTGGAGGGAATCGAGCCCCGTACCTTGTAATCTACAGTCAAGAGACATAGCCACGGGACCACAACACGTGATAAGCCCAGCAGTTGTATGACCCCAATGTAAGGGATGAAAATAACGGCGATGGAGCAACATTTTAAAGATTCAAGACCGATTTCAAAACTTTAATGACCGAAGAAGAAGATGAAGTAGAAGAAAGAAAAAAAAGCAGCAGTTTAATATATGTTTCTTTACTTGGCATTTTAGGAACATGACCCTAGTTTACTACTGAGGTGAGAAATTGACCTGAAATTACATTTCGCAATCGTCTACGCACAGCCAGCGTGTGGGGATTCCCCATAAACGCCGTCTGAATTAGCTTTTAGAGAAGGAGCAAATATTCAACCTTGAATGAGAAGAGCCTTTAAAGGCAAAAAAGAACATCAGCAAGCAATGTGTTTTAATGATTAGCTAGTAGAAACTGTCGTGGGAAGAATAGAGAGCAAAAAGGGGGCGAGGGGCTGATCAAGTTACAGCCGGGTAGTAAGAAGTAGTTGAGGCCTGTTTCTCCACCTTTAATAGCCACAAAGTAGGATGGATAAGGTAGATAGTTTGCATCCATTTGCATGTAGTACCGTGTGCATCAGTGTGGGGGGGGGGGGGGTGTAAGAGTTAGGGTGAGGGTTAGAGATAGGGTTAGGGTTAGGATTGTGGTTAAGTTTAAGGTTGGGATTTAGGTAAGGGTTGTGACTATTATCCTTGATCAAATAAATATCATACTCACCCCTGGTTTTATTGATTACTTTGACTTTTTAAAGCCATCCTGATGAAACAAAAACCTTTTAAATCTTAAGAAAATAATAACAAAAATAGGAAAACAATCAGTGTCATATTAAAATGCATGTATTTCGAATGTACTGTCTAATGAAATTAGAAATCGTTCCCCACGGAAAAGGCTGCAGTCAAAAATTTAAAGGATATCTTTTTTTAGGAATATTATTTGCTCACATTTAAATATTCATGTATTAAAAGTGAAATACATGTACTACATATCGTCACTGTTTTCACGAAGTGGCGGTAGTGAAAAAAAATTGCATTCACTTTGCGTTACGATTTTTCTCACTACCGTCACTTCCTGAAAATAGGGACGATATATTGTACAATGTAAATCGAATTATTAAAACATATTCTAATCAGCTTGTGTAATATGTTTGAGTTATAATTATTTTGTGTACATATTTCCTAGTCATGAATGAAACTGTCAAGAAATTGATTAGTGGAAAGCGAAAATGCTTCTTAGTGATCCAATGGTTCTTGTTTATGTTTGATTTATAGAATAGGGCTAACCTTGACTAGTGTTTGCTCTTTGTTGCCTTTGAGGGGAATCCCCTTTACATCATTGTGCAATGCGTATGCCATTGTATTCTGGGTGGTGTCGAATACTGCAATAATTTGCCATTCTATTGACCGCTCAGTGTGGCATCCGATGCCCTGCTCTGCTGCCATATAATTATTTGTACAAAGGAGATCATTCCTGAATAAGTAACAGTTTTCAACGCGTATTTCATTGGCAAGCCTCAAATTGAGCTTACAAGATGGGGGCAATGAATTCTGCACGTTGCCACGCTGTCTATTCCGGTATACTTGTGACTGTAGCTGTTGTCCTATGGTGTAGTAGGTATTTGTGAATAACGAGTATACATGTACACTGTCGCCCATGATGCTGGAATAATTTTTCCTAACCCCTTTTCATGAAATGTTTGTCACAATATTGTTTAATCTTGATAGGTAGAGTTAATATCTTCTTATTTCTTTATTGATCAATCTCTAGGATTTTTCAGATTGGTCAATAACGTTCTTAAAGTGTAAACTTTATCTTTCAAGAAAAAAAAAATCATATTTTCACAATCATTTCATGAAAAGAAATTAGTAAAAAATATCCCAACTTAATGGGCAGCAGTGTACATGTAGATCTGCTGAGCTGTCGTGATATACTGGTTTATTTAACTGATGATTTCCTATACAATGGTTGAGGGTTCCTCATCTGAATCCGGCATTAAAGTCCTTTAGCAAGACATCAATCGACATTAGACACTTTCCTCCATTGTATAAATGGCTAGCTTGCGATTGCTCGGGAAATAATGATTGCAGGGCCGCTGTTCCATAGGGCCACGTACCGATTCAATATGCATTGCCGTGAAGCTTATAATGATTACGTAATGAATATAATATAAAAACTAAGATACGACATGGATTTAGATTGAGTATACATTTCCGAATTTTAATTTGCGCCTTAAATCGCCTTATTCCGATACTGATGATATTCATAGAGTATCTATTTTTGGTGAAAACAAGAGTGTTATAAATTTCCTCTATATTTATTTCATTTTGCAGTGCTCTTTCATTTCTGCGGGGAAAATACCAACCCAAGTAAGTAATAAGATATGTTGATAATGGTATTAAATGTGATGTCCATTCGTCGAAAATGTTTATCCGTAGAACACATTGTTTAATACATAGCAATGTATTTATAGACATGAAGGTTTTTTGGAACCCACTTTTTACATATTATACCGGTTGTGGCTTAGATATATTTCTAACATTGATAGTAGTGAACGGTTGTATTAAATAACTGTCCTGTGTGTTTGTGTGTGTCTGTGTTCGTGTGCGCGCGCATGTTTGGGTGTGGAATTGTAGAGGTGTATATATGTGTTTAGAAAGTAACATGTAGCTTTCCTGCGTGATCGGTATTTGTGTGTTTGTTGGGGGGGGGGGGCAGGGTTGTTGGGTGTTCATGCGTTCGAGTGTATATTGGTGTGTACACGTATGTGAGTGTGTTGTGTACGAATGAGAATGAGTTAGTTTCAGATTTTATTGGTCGGGAGTTGGGTAGTGAAGGAAAGGATTATAATTTGTCTAATAGTATGACTAATTTTATTCCTTTTTTTAAATCGCAATTCATAGATTGTACATGTTTTAACTTAATTGAATTATGTTATTATGATGAAAAAGGTATTGTATTTTGAAAAATTTGTTCTATTGTTTCGATAAAGAATGAAATCGAAATATAAAGTGTTTCGTAAATGTATATATTGGAAGTAAATAATATGGTAGGGTAGAAAATTGTTAAAGTTGTGTGCGTGTATGTAATGGTGGGGGTGTTGTGAATCTGCAACATTTTCTAAATAAAAATTCAGAGGTTTTTTGTTTGAGTTCGTTTGAGTTTGAGTTGTATTGGTTTCAGATTGCACATGCAGATTCAATACAGATAATAATGTATACATTAGAGACATACTGTATCATTAAAAAAATGATTATATTAATTGACAAATTAATCAGACTACAAGTTCTGAATAAATTCCTATTCGTCCAGCAACTGACTTCAACTATTCTTTTTTTTAGTGCTATGTACTTAAAAAAATATAGAAATGCATACGAGATGAACCTGTGCAAAAGAAAATTACTGACTATCCAATTAACTCCTTCGTATTCTCAAACAGCACAACATACTGCATTAAAAATAGACTTAGGCATTCTCTGTATTTATGGTTCTTTGTGGTATAATGTTTAAATGTTTGTATTCTTGATCAAAAGAAAGTATAACAAAGGCTCAAAAGTGGGACCCTGAACAATGGATATAAAGATGTTTTGTTATTGTGCTGCCGTTTCACATCCATAGAGCTAAATTGACTCAAGC